CAGGAGGGTGCTTTTGTTCCACGAGTATTTATATCGCTTCATTTCCACGGAAATCCCTAACAGTGTGCTTACCATGAGTTTACGTTAGGTGTGCTCGCTAGCGACTACGAAAAAAAATGACATTAAATGAATAACCCCCTAGGCCCTAGAGGGTAGCCTCTTGAAAGTAGTTTCAAGAACTAAAATCTTTATAGATTTTTTGACGCAGTCGCTAGCGAGCACACCTAACGTAAACTCATGGTAAGCACACAATACCAGCAACAATTAATTCGTTTCGGTTGAAATTAATTAAGCTCCGTTAAATACCAAATATACATTGTTTCTGCCCTTTACTTATCATCCGTAGGTACACTTTAGTATACTAATAACACAATATTAGACCTCTCATGTACCCTGAATTTGTAATGACGCACTGTTCTCGACCGTAATTACGACATCAAAGAAACTTTCATGTCATAATTATAATACTGAGATACAATTTGAAACTAGGAACTGTGGATTATACTCGTAAATGGCATGTTAACGTTAGTCAGTTGTATACGTTATGTTTGTAAGTTACGTAAGTATTTCTTACTCTTGATCCTGTCACTTCTGTGTAGTCAGGATTAAGAGCTCAACAATAAATAAAAATACCTAACCAGTGAAAGCTAAATTAGTCCCGAAGACTAGTTAAAACTTTTATTAGAGACGCAACAAAATTAAGAAAACCCGGTGTAAAGTAAACAGATGACAAACAAAAATATAAATGTCAAATAACGCTAATTTTTAAGTACCTACTTCAGTCAGATGTTGTATGACCAAAAATATAATACTTACTCGAAACATATCCCCACAAATCGCCCAGCTAGCAAGGACAGGTCGTGCTTGAAGTGCTCCAAAACACTTAAATTTTCCAAATAAAAAAATCGTAGTACCTAGTTCCATAAACTTATGCCTTATTTCATAACTAAGAACGTACCTACTATCATCAGTTCAATTACTTCTTTTAAATTCCATACCCCTAGATAATTTCATGACTTCATTGGATAAGTGCGTACCTAATAGTAGTCCTTAATCTCATTATTTCCACAATGAATAACCTAAACTCAAGTTCTTTCATTCCCTATACATACAGTATAACTACACATTTTTTTTTTATTTGCTTATAGAACCTATTTTTGTACAGCCGCGGGACAAAGAGCCCGTTTTGACAAAACTAGCCAAAGGCCGAATCTATAGTTTTTCCAGTTCAATGGAACACGCGGACATTGTTTAATTAAACTTTTGTAAGGTTAGCAAAACAAAACGTTTTTGGGATATGAATGAAATAAATAACATGAAAACTTATAAGAAAGAAAGAAAAAAAGAAATGAAACTATAATACTTCACTGGTTCATTCGTATCTTACCTTTAAACGAGTTAGATTTTTAAAAAAACTTAATCTTTAACTAGTAATTTATTTTTTTATGCAGAACAAGGTAGATTTGACCGCAATCGCGCCTGAATGAGATGTTGTCTAGGATAGATAGATGATTAATGGATTTAAAAAAAATAAAATACATATTTTCCATTTCATAAATATTTCAACTAGACAATTCCCTTAGCTCTACCATTAATAAATATACCGTTTTTCTTTTCCAAACCATGTTCAAGAAAACTTTTAGGTATCCATCGAGCTCGATCTACAGCACCCACGGGAGATCCGACCAGTTTTAAAATTGTACTATTGTTGTTTTGCTGTCGGTACCCGCTGCGTCCGGGGAGGCAACTTGTTATAAACAAACTCAGTGGAGGACACTAGTTCGAATGTCAGTCTATGAATAGGATTTCAGACTTTATTTAGGACTCAATTGTTGTGTCTATCTAAATCTATTTAGTTACTAAAATCAACACTGTAAAGTTCAACTTATAAAAAAATCTGTTTGTAATAATTTTAATAATTTGTAAATTTTTATACGGGGTTATAAATTTAATTTAGAAGAGTCCGTAGAAAAATATGAAAAGAAAAATACATTAAACCAATAAGTACGAGTAGGCTATACCTACTTTTTCTTTGCGGTCCAGTGTAGTAAGTCTTACCTACCCCTAGGTATTTATACTTTTCTAGCTCTTAAGATTATCGCCATAATATGCCGTCTTGTTTATGTATTTCTTTCTTGTCTTGTGTGGTGTACAAAAAAGTGTTCGATAGATAGAAAAAAAAAAGATATCTACGAGTATTTACTACAGTTTGTTCAGATGCCTAAGTTACGGCTTTTAATATCAGCACGGGTATGCACGGATGTGTACGGTACGTAGAAATTGCGTGACATGCGAAAAATCAAATGTCATAGCGTAGCATATTGGCTATTTTCTAGGCAATAATACTCGTAGAGTGAATAAATTTTCCACCCAGTTGGAAGACGGAATATAAATAGGTTTTTCTGTTAAGCGAAATTCAATCGAAAGGTAAATTGCAGAGAAAATTATAACATTAACGTTTTGTATCCTAATGGCATCATCAAAGTCAATTTAAAAACACAAAATTGTTTCTTTGGCACTAATAAGATTGCTGTAATAAATACAATGTGGTTAAAAAGTTCTATGAAAATTTAGCACTTCAAATTCATTAAATTACCGTTACAATAAAGAATGTAATTATTAAATGGTTCATTTTCGGCACCAATATAATCATCATTATCGACTTTAAGTTTTACACCCAAACATTTTACTTTTATGCCACGTCATTAAATGAGGTTAATCCACTTTTTATTTCCTTGGCGGCCCGTTAAATGTTTATTTTCGATTTGATAGCGAACCATTAACTCCAGTAATGGATTTAACCTGTTAATCGTCAAGTGTAAATATCAAATCACGAGGCCCAAGGACAAGAAGGCTATATACTGCCATTGTATAAAACGTAACGTGGATTGGGTATACAGGTACAATCGGCAGAACAACCCACAAAAATACCCTCAAATAATTTGGCATACTTAGTATATTATTATCTGTACTAATATTATAAAGCTGAAGAGTTTGTTTGTTTGTTTGTTTACTTGAACGCGCCAATCTCCGAAACTACTGGTCCGATTTGATAATATCTTTCAGTGTTAGATATCCCATTTATCGAGGAAGGCTATAGGCTATACATCATCACGCTACGATCAATAGGAGCAGAGCAATAATGTAAAATGCTGCGAAAACGGGTTTTCACGCGTATGAAGTCGCGGGCACAGCTAGTAGAATAAATATAAGGTGAAAATAACAGGTGATTCTTAATTATTTACTGGTGATACAGGAACTGGAAGACCTGTAAATGCTCTTTGTTATTTTACAGCCTTTAAAATATGGTATGTAACGACTTGCAAAATTATCAATCCTACGTTCACACGAACTAGACATTTTTAAATGGCATAACAAGAATAACAAATGACGTAGCGTAGTAATTTTAAATTATTTATGATTTTTGCATTTACGGAGCTAAAAGATAACACTTGATACATTTTGTTGTTTTGAGTTTATACGTCTATGTAAGCTACATTCTCCATTAGAAATTACTGTCATAATTTAATATACATAATATTAGATCTTGGGTACACTGAGTTCATCTATGTTCTAGTCAAGTAGAGAGATTGAGCTAATTTGCATGAACACAAGTCGTGATCATTTCCTTCCGATTAATTAATCATGGATGCATTGATATAACAACGTGTTAGCACGGCACTCGGAATAATCAGATTCTGTAACAATACATTAACGAAAACACCGTAGAGTTATGCAAAATAGCAGTTGTAGTGCTGTTTCGGAACGATTTTTCCTAGACTCTTTGTTGACAATTCAATATAATCGTCTATCATTATCATAAGACGTCCACTGCTGAACATAGGCCTCCCCCAATGATTTCTATAATGATCGGTTAGTAACAGCCTGCATCCAGCACCTTCCTGCTACCTTTATGAGGTCGTCAGTCCACCTTGAGGGTTGACCTCCTACGCTGCGCTTTTCGGTACGTGGCTTCAAGTTCTTTACGAGATCGTATCAGAAATGAGGAGATCCGTAAACGAACTAAAGTCGCTGACATAGCCCGATGGATTAGCAAGCTGAAGTGGCAATTAGCAGGACACATACTCGTAGTACGCAGAACTGACGGCCAATGGGGCAGTAAGATTCTAGAAAAACGTCTGTAACATTTTTTATTTTATTTATTTTCTTTATTAGGAAAACATACAGCTTATATTATGATACATGAAACATGAAAGAATAAAAGAAAGCAAATCTATAAGATTTTCTTATTTTGCGCAAATCTTCACATTAAATTGTTTTTTCTTCTCTGACAGATGTGATTACGTACTTATTTTCAAGTTGGCAACTCCTGATTTTTTAATACAACCTGTAAAACCCTGGGACGTTGGTATGGCTCCTAGCAAATTACGTCGAGCTTTCATTCTGGCTTACGTACACTGGCATTCAGCAATTAACCTGGAAACAACTGAATCGCCATAATTTAATAATACTAAAGGGTCTTTATGACCGCGCGGTGAAATGCTACGAAATGAATAAAGATTCTCCCGCCGGATGAAGGGATGAAGGTTGTTTCAAATATTACGGCTGTAATGGCAAACGGCTACAAATTAAAATTGAATAATTAACAATATCCAAGATAATAATTATCCCTTCTTTAGGGTTGTCACAAATACGTGGCGTTTTTCGCGTTTTTGGAGTCCCATTGTCATGATATTATTCAACTTTTATTTTCTGCATCTACGTGACAGTTAGGTAAGTAGTCGGCACACCCATCAGGGTCGGTCGTGTAAGTAGTATCATAAGTAAAGTAGGACCTATAATAAGTAAAGATAGTTCTTTCGAACCATTTTTACACACTATGTATTTCATTTCAAAGTAATCCCTCTGTTTCTACGTTAAATAACCAAAGCAACTAACCCCCACTAAGGTGATAAGATATTTTTTAAGTAAATAAGAAGAAGAAAGAGTAAAACTTCTTGTACCAATGCAGGTTCCTCATTCTTCTGTTTCTTCCACAGGCTTGTTCGAAACTGACGGCGTGCGCGTCCCAGGAACGGAATGCGACTTCCAATTCAGCCGGTCCGGGAACCGGCCGACACACGGCCGGCTCTACAGCCCGCGATACCCGTCCATCTACCCCAACAATATTCGGTGCTCTTACCACTTCCACGCCAGGTGAGAACAAAATACTACTACTAATTAATTCAATTAGACATTATGCTTCCTGGAAGGAAGGAAGAATCTCCCTTTTATTTGATCCTACCCCCAAAACATAAAGTGCTCCTAACCACTTCCACGCCAGTTGAAAATAAGACTCCCTTTCATCTAAATGAGTCAACATCATCAACAGCTACAATCTAGACATAATGCTTCCTTAAAGGTATCTTAAGACATAGTCGGGGAGACTATGTTTCTACCCCAACAACAATCAGTGCTCTTACCACTTCCACGCCAGGTAAGAACAAAATACTTCTACTAATAATTGATTCAACATGAAGATCAGCTACGTCTGGACATTTATGCTTCCATAAAGGTATCTTAAGGCACAGTCTCCCCCTTATTTGATTCTACCCCAATAACATTCGGTACTCTTACCACTTCCACGCCAGGTAAGAATAAGACTCCCTTTGATGTAGTTAGAGAAGTATAGAGAACGTCAAAATACAGTAAATAAAAAAGGTAGCCCTTATGGGGCACTTTACATGTCTCCTTATCTTTTGGGCCCTACCAGCGATCATCATCATCATGAACATCAGCTGAAGTCTCCTCCTTAATTGATTTTACCCCAACAACATTCGGTGCTCTTACCACTTCCACCCCAGGTGAGAATGGATTGCTTCTTTACGACTTCCAATTCCAGAAAGTCCTGTGACTGAAATTATGATAATGATGATGAGTCAGTGCCGAAAGCACAATTTCCCCATTAAGTATTTGATTCTACCCCAACCACAGATCCCAATCTTAGCTCACACACGCAAATCTTAAGCTGGATTGCACCATCTTACTTTAACTTTGACAAACGTCAAAAATCTATCAAACTCCACACAAAAAACACCGATTATCGTTAAAGTTACGGTCAAAGATAGGTGGTGCAACTTAGCTTTAATATTATAAATAAATTGCCAAGGCAAAAAGATCCCTTTGAAATATCTGTAAAGTATTTGACTGGATATTTTTGATGATCACAGACTCGCAGCTCAAAAGCCTTTGATGTTTATTATTCCTAAGAAGTACCTACTTAACCGTAAACATAATTTAATTTATTTCAGACCAAAAGAACGCGTGAAAGTGGTTTTCGAAGAAGTTTCCCTGCAAAAAGGTGACATTAGGTAAGTTTTTTAACCTTTTAAAACTTTATTTTAGTCTGTGTAAATAAATAAAAATTAATTGCTGGTGCAATGATTTTAGGCATCATATCTAATTTAATTGTAATAATAAAATATGGTTCTTTGGAGAGAAACATTATAAAATTATCTGAGATTTTTCCATTTACGGAAAAAANCATAAAGAACAGCTACGTCTGGACATTATGATTTGTTAAAGGCGCCTAAGGGCAGAATCTCCCCTTTATTTGATCCTACCCCCACAACATTCAGTGCTCCTTACCACTTACACGCCAGGTGAGAATAACACTCCCTTTGATGTAGTTTAGTCATGATCATCATCAGATGAAGTCCTGGACACATGCTTAAGGAGCTCTTAAATGAATAATCTCACCCATATTTGACTCAACTCCAAAACCATTGCTCTTACCACTTCCACGTCAGGTGAGAATGGACACAATTACATCAAAATGGAGCATCTCATTCCCTTTTGATGTAATTGAGTCATCATCATCATCATCAACTGAAGTCTCCTCCTTAATTGATTTTACCCCAACAACATTCGGTGCTCTTACCACTTCCACCCCAGGTGAGAATGGATTGCTTCTTTACGACTTCCAATTCCAGAAAGTCCTGTGACTGAAATTTTGATGGTGATGATGAGTCAGTGCTGAAATCACAATTTCCCCATTAGGTATTTGATTTTACCCCAACAACAGATCCCAATCTTAGCTCATACACACACTAAACGCAAAACTTAAGCTGGGTTGCACCATTTTACTTTAACTTTGACAAACGTCAAAAATATATCAAACTCCACACAAAAAACACCGGTTATCGTTAAAGTTACGGTCAAAGATAGGTGGTGCAACTCAGCCTTAATATCTATCTCTATTATATAAAAGAAAGTCGTNATATTTAAAGAGTAATTCAAAAAATTAAACACGTAAAAAAGTTCATTTTCCTGTGAAATTGGAGGCGTCTGACGCAACCTGCTCCCGTGACGCTTGGCCGGCAACTGACAGGTCGAGACACGTTCGCGCTTATTCGTAGGCACAAAGTGCGTTGGAATTAGCGTGGTAAGTCGAATAGGTTCTATGTAATTACGCTGTTAGTATTTACCCCTGTTAAAACCAGCCCCAGTCTCCCCTAATAAGAATTGAGCAAAACGAATTCTACAGAAGATATGCTACTCAGCCTTTATGTAAATGTTTGTTAGAATTCAGATACAAATTATTGACATTTGGTCAGAACAACATCTGCTGGATCAGCCAGCACAATAATAACTTTAAAATTCATCATCCATTTTGCCTTCTCGTCTCTCTGAAAATAGGTCGGGCCGCGTATTTGCTTACCCTCAAGACGAACCCATTACGGGATTCGCATAAAATCACCGCCAATATCCGACGGCGGACGAGGCAATAAAATCGTTATACCTGCATGTCGTAATAGAATCCTTGATCTGAAATATTGAATATTACTCGACAAGCGCTCCCGCGGACGTTACCGTAAAATACGCCGTAAAAATCGCTTCAATAGCTACTACAATGTACGCTCTTGTATGGATGGGTTTATGAAGTGGCCTGAGGGGTTTGGTTTTACGCGAAATTGTGCAGTTTGAACTACCTACATTTAATGGAGTTATGCATTTTATAGAGCTTTGTTGGAATATATCCGCCGTACTTATATAGACAGATATCTTAAAGCGGATAGCCCGTGTAATATTTAGCCGATAACTTTTCCACGAAGAATACTCAAAACAAGACGTGCGAGAGCTTAAAGGATTTGGTCGCCAGATCAGGAGTTAAATAAGTACCTACCTATTAAATGTTAACTACCTTATCTTAAAAAAAACCCTCTATCATTTGGATTATAACTGGGTTAAACTGTACGGCAGACTTTATAAGACGCTATAGGTGGCAGAAATGGCTCAATCAGAGCAATAGCTTGACGTATCTTTCAAAGTAACCAATCGTATCTTTTTAACAGTCTGGTTTATTTGGAACCTCCTATACTTATCATAATAAAAGTAAGTACTGTAAAGAAAAAATACAAAAAGTAATCAAAAGCAACAATGAACCGCATAGACAGCTCTTCTTTTTTTAAAGCATCGCAACTGTAAATATTTAATGCGCAATTTTAACAGGTAATTTTCCGCACAGGTAATGGCAGTAGTAAATCAGGCATTATTAGAGGGAACGTGTAATTTTATGCAGTTTTCAACAACACTAAAAATACTGAAATATTGCCCGCAATAATACAGTTATTGCAAGATTCACAACGTTTATTCGAATGGATAAACTTTTTACAATTAAAGTGAACTGCCTTGTTTTAAAATTTACAGTACGATAAGACTGATCTGCGTAATATTCGATACTTTAATGGAACTATTAGGTGTTACTGCAAGCTACCCCGATTCTCACGTTAATAGTTTATGCAACTGAAATTGTGAGTGTGAAGTTGTGAGTAAATAAAATGTAGACTGTTTATAGGCCAGTAGAATTAAACACAAAAATTGATTAAATCGGAAATAATTCCTACAAANATGTAAGTAACGATTTCTTTCTGTTTGCTATTTCTAACTATTAAAATAAGTTTCAGTGCTAATTACTCTAAAAGCCTGTATGATTGATTATGTTAAACAATGTTATATCGTTTACGTATACAATTGCACTATTTGATAGAAATCGCTATTACTCAAATTGGCGTCTCATTTCGAAAATCTAGGAACTAGAAACACTAGGAATTAGTAGAAGTGCAGAGTGCTGATGGAATTAAGATTTAAAGAAAAAGAAGAGAGTGATGAGAGATAAACCATGTATTTTCAGACAGAGAAGTGAAGTGACAGATATAAACAAACAGTATAAAAGTCACATTCAAATATAGCTATCAAAACATAGAATGTATTACAGCCAGTTCTGGTTACTTAAAAAGCAGGTTTTTACAGAAAAAGTGAGATGACTAGTGGATAGATCCAAAAATGTTTGATCTATCCACCTTCAAAAGACTCGCTTTAGGGATTAGCCTCTGTTCGCTTTTCGTAACATCTAGTCTAGCTCCAAACTAACCTCAAATTGTTCCCCAAACACAGTTCATCNCGTTCATCAAATTCTCTGTACAAACTTGACCGACTAATCACCTTAATCATCTCAAAATACCATTTCTCCGGCTAATGCCTGTCGAGTTAGCATAATTTAATTACGGGCATAATGGACAGCAACGCTACGTTAATGAGCCGGACCGTAAACTATATCTGCAGCTTAATTAACTAATAATGCATGGGTGCACTGCTCTGAATATGATTTACATTTCATTGGAAGTTATAGGGACTATTCAGTTTGGAGATTAGAAAGTAAATGAGTAAGAACGACTGGGTGTGCGTTGTCAATGTTAGGCTGAAAAGATGTTTAATATTGTTTGATGTAATATGTACCATCCTAAACTACATCACACTTAACACCAGGTGCAAATGTTGTCAAATACCTGCCTTGTTATGCATTTTAAAAAAATCATCCCAAAAGAAAAAAGTAGCGGAGTAGAAGAGCTATTAATGCTAAGTCACTAGAAAAACACATCATGATTAAATTAGATAGTGATAATTTTAGTATTCCAGTGTTCCCTGTCCCTGTTTTACGAAGCGCATTACAATTAGTAACTACGCAACTAAGTATAGCAAAGTGCCAGTAAACAAGCAAGTACAATAGAAGTTTTAACATTTTAAGGCAAATTAAGCTTTATTTTTAAGGCCAATTAAATAAACGTTTAGGGTTGCCCTAAATAAACCATTCCTAACTTCAACCCGTTCGTTTTAACGAAGAGCTAACTAAACCATATTCAGGCTTAATTAACGATTAATGCACGAATGCACTGCAGGATGGAATTTACATTTCATTGGAACTTTGGAAGTTTTACACGCGCGGTTGGATTTTGACTAAAGGCAACATTTTCAGTCGACGCGCGATTGACGGCTTCAATATGATGCGACACTTATTTATGGGCGCTGGTAAATTATTAAAATAATTATTATGTAGGCTTTTTGATGTGATGAGTTTGATAAACACTTATAGGCTGAGTTGCACCACCTTATTTTAACGGTAACTATGACAATAACCGGCGCTTTTTATATGGAATTTGACAGATTTTTGAATTCGTTTATACTAAAATAAAATGGTGCACATTGTACTGTCTAGGTTTTTATTTAATGAAATTAGGTCGACGTTATGTACACAATATTTAAGATTTTAAACTTTCGCGTTTCATTTCAATTTTAACACACCTTTTTTATCGCAAAAATGTCACGTTGAGACCCTGTTTCTTTATTTTAAGAGTTATTTATAATTGGCAAATGTTTAGATCCCTAAATACAGTAGCAAAATGGATTTTCATTCGGTTGTTTCTTCTCCAAACACAACCAGGCATAGGTATAGATAGGTAAGCATATCAAAGCACTCATGATCCCAGTAAAACAAGCTAAACTAAAGCATGCTCCTAGTGCATCGGGCCCAGATAATCCTGTTAGGTCCCGCATACCCGTATAGTACCAAATTCTAAACCTGTAAGCTAGGAACGTTGTGGCTCTTAAAGATTTACGTGGAAATCTATCAACGAAATACGGTCTTCAAACTGCAGATTTTATAATGAAAACTTTTATTAAAAAAAACTGATATCATTACAATATCAGTTTTTTTATGCAAGGCAGGTATTTGACCATACTCACACCTGGTGTTAAGTGCATGAAGTTTAGAATGGTACATATCTGTGGGCTGAGTGTGAGTTTAAAAATGTATGAAAATTTTAGTTTTTGAACGTTTCTCGCTAGGGGCGCTGTACAATCCGTCATACAATCAATGTCACTTTTTGACGCGCTCACTAGAAGAGATGAAAACTCACACTCAGCCCTCTGCTCTGTAAGTGCCTTTTCACTCTCGCCTTGAAAAGATTCGGATTATAATCTTTCGGGAAAGACAGCAGCAGGCAGCAAGTTAGGCAGGCTTAATTAAGTTTAGATGGAATGGATGAAAATTCTGTAACCTGTAAGACCACGCTCACAACTTCACATTTACTTAATATGTATGTTCTGATAACTTAAACATAGCTCGCAGTTCTTAAGACTATGACCTTTGTTTGATGTTATCAAAGTATTAACTACGCAATTTCTACTATTTTATCTAACTGTAACTTCTACCGATGTTCAAACGAAAGGTCGTGGGTCCATTTCAAATTATTTAAGTGAAAAATCATGTTCTAGGTAAGTAAGATCATAACATGATGTCGTTTAATTTTTTGTTTCCAGCTGCCTCCGCCGCGCTGACATCATCAAGGTGTTCGACGGCAGAGACACCACCGCGCCCGCAATAGCCATGCTGTGTAATGAGCTTACAGGTAACATTTATCATCATCATCATAATTTTAGCCACAGCACGTCCACTGCACATAGACCTCCGCCAATGATTTTCCGCATTGACCGGTTGGTAGCGGACTACATCCAGCGTCTTCTGCTACCTTTATGAAGTCCTCGGCCCACCTTGTGTGTTGTCAAATAATACGTATTACCATTTATTAATTTCTTATAAGGCGCGCTTATCTTCTTATATTGGAACTTATATCATTTAATACATACTTCACATCTTAATGAAAAATACAAATCAGAGTACACATTTGTGTCACTTACTGACACCTAACAACTATATTAGATACTCCGTTGTTAAGCTGAATGTGTCGCCAACAACAATCTATGCAGGATTACAATTTTACTGTGCGTTGATTCCTAAACGAATTTTATCACCGATAAAACAGCTTGTAACATTCGGATATTTCGGATAACTCCAATTCAAAAGCCATCTGTTCTAAACCCAGGTGATAAATTTTGGTTATCTGATCTTCTAAAAATAATGCCTACGATCAATCAACTGTAACAACCCGTAACAGCACAATCGCATAGTTATCCGAACAAATGTACAGATGAATTCGAATACCATGCGGCTTCCATTCGGTTAACGAACGCATAAAATACTTGACCAGTTTCACGTGAAAAAAAAAACAATAAAAAAACGTTACCAAAAATTGCGAAGTAAAAACGTTCTCTAAAATAAATCAAAGAGAAAAACAGAACAAGGAAACTATAACCTTTCAAAACAATACAAACAGGGGTTAATCAGTAGAGCTACTGTTGTGTGAAGTTCAAATTAAAGGGCCTCATTCGGCTTAATCATGACCTGTGTATTTTATGACAGCATTTTTGACCCTATCGTACAAATATAGGGTAAATAAATAGAAAATAAAATGGGATAGAACATTTTAAACGGATATCGCAAGGTAAAATAATGGTCACCATAAGAAGTTAAATCTTAACCGTAACGAAACTTCCCTCGTCACCTTCCCCTACGTCTGTATCTACCTTTACATCTTTTTGAATGAGTAATGACAGGTCGAAGTAGCTTTGATGCTAGGGTCGACAAAATGTAAAAAGAGGACATTTTAGAATCTGTTTGGGTTTTCAAAGCTTACAAGAACTGTTTTGGAGACGTTGTCCTTCAATATTGTTTATTATATTTTCAACTGAGCAATAACATTTTACACACTAGGTAGGAACTATTTCATATTTAGGTTACTAAATAAGGTGATTAATGACGCGATTGTAAGAACTATTTATTAGTCTAAACAAATAAAGAAATTTTGACTTTGACTTTGATGATTAATTGGAAGAGGGCAGCGCAGGACCGGTCATGGTAATCCTTGCAGAAGGCCTTTGTTAAGTAAACGTTATTTGGCTTACACGAACCACAGATAATATAATACTAGTACACGAACGAACGATTGAACGACAACGTTGACAGCCCTACTCTACGCTCTAGTTGCGGCAAGCCGTGATTGCTTGCTCCATTCCCAATACCTAATTATCCAGGTTTTCAGTAATGCTTTAGTGCAAAAGTGTTTACTAACTGGAACTAGGTATGACTATTGTGGTGAGCTCACTCGTAACACAAGCATATTTAGCTTAGTACGAGGGGCTAACGGGAGTATTAGTAATTTGTGCAATAACAAATTACTAATAATCTTTTTTAAAATAGAAAAAAAATTTATAAATAACATTTCAAAATAGAATTGTTTTTATCAATTTCAACGTTAGTGGTCAATCCACAGTATAAATCGGCAGCTTGGTAAGCACAGTCAGCATCAAATAGTTCGAACCCAAAGTAGCCAAAAAGTTCGCAACACGTCTGAATTAGGGTTGTGTAACTTTTTGACCATTTTGGGTGTTACTTACTATTTGACGTTGACTGTACGTAAGACGTCACACTGCAGCATCTTTAGTATTTATATTAAGTGCTATAATTGCAACTAAAGTAGCCAACTGTGCATGCCATGCACTTTTGATAACCGTAGAGTTCAAGGATTGTTTTTATCGATTGCAAGATGCATCGTAAAGGTCACGCGCAGTAAATGTTCCAGTATGTTCCTATTTACAAATAACTATTGCAGATAACATTATCTACCAGTGTATATTGTATAGTAATAAATCGATAGACCTATACACAAGAAGGTTAAAGTTTGCTACCAAATAGTCCAAAGTTTTTTCCAATTAGGTAAGTTTATAATATGAAGCCTAAGAAGGATCTTATCTTAGTTTCATTAGAAAATATAATTATACAACACAAACCTCATTTTAAGCTACTAAGCTCATTTACTAACCTTGATGNGTGATGTTATTCGTCGTCTGGTAGAGGACATATCTTGCAAGCAGCTCGTCGAACGATTCCTTCGGCAGTTCTGACGTCGGCCACTCGACTGATCCCATCGGGTCCTGGGTAGAGTTTCGTGACGCGACCCAGTTTCCATTTGAGTGGCGGGATATTTTCTTCCTTCAGAAGAACGAGTTTATTTAGGTCCAACGTTGTTTTGTTCGTGGTCCATTTGTGGCGTTGTTGTAGATCTCGCAGGTATTCGTGGTGCCAACGCCGCCAGAAGTGTTGACGGAGGGCCTCAATACGTGCGTAACGGGTCAGTCGGTCCAAATTGTCCTGATGATACGTATGAGATGGTATCGTTTTGAATGATCGGCGATAGGTGATAATGGTCTCGAGTTTAATATTGCTTCGATTTGCGATAGCAAAGTACTTAGCTCTTCGAATGTCAGATGTGAACGGAACACAATTCGATTCAAGAGATGTTTTGCGGATTTGACAACGGCTCCGTACAGACCACCAAAGTGGGGCGCGTATGCTGGGGCAAAATGGAACGCGATACCCTCAGTTGTCATAGCGTCAGATACACTGTCAGTGGTATGTTGCTGCTTTAGGAATCGTTTCAGTTCGTTACATTCTCCTACAAAGTTAAGCCCATTATACGAGTAGATGTTTACAGGTTTACTCCAGCGCGACATAAAACATCTTAAGGCCATGAGGAATGACTCCGTGGTATGATCGGTGACTGCTTCTAAGTGGATTGATATATTCGATTGATCATGCTAAGTTTCAGCCACAGATGGGCCGATAAAACGTACGTATTGAAATAAAAGTTTTGTAAACGAGTGAGTGGACTGTATAATTAATTATCGGTTGGTTTTCGCTATATTCGAGATAAGAGTTTTCGAGTCGTGAAATACGGTTGTCATCGAGAAACGGTAATAATTTTACGTGAGCTTTTGATGAAAGCTTTTTATTCTATAACATAGAAATATCGAGTATACGAGAGACGATTAAACTTGACTTAGTCGAACTAATGAACGTGAAAGATTATTCATGTTTGATTACTTGCAAAGGCCCTGTGAGTTTTGATACGAGTGTTTTTACGATTATAAATAGGAAACGGTACACATACGCGGTTGTTCGGTTCAGTTCGTGTATTCGATTCGAGTCGGCGTTCGAGTTGTTTAAAATTATTTAGAGCCGTGTCATACGAGTCCTCGCGCAGAGGAATATCAACAGCACACCTGCCTAAGTTATCACGAGATGATTGAGTCACATGATTGAGTTCTGTAAGTGATGGTGTAGTAGTCAAGAAAAGTGCACGTAACCTTGTTGGTTTTAACATTCGAGATAGATCCGGATACCAGCCAGCCTAATTTTGTCTCAATTAATTGGAGATTAGAACCGGGGGCGACTGGGATTCGGTTAGATTGGATTAAGGTCCAGAAGAGATCCGCGCCTATGAGTATGTCTATCACTGACGGCTGTGTAAAGCTTGGATCTGCTAGAACTACTCCTGAAGGCAAGTTCATATTGAAACGGATGGGTTGACTTGGTGTTGAACCCACGATACGGGGAATGACGAGACACGATAATGTGGAACTAAATTCTGTTACCTGTGATTGAACTGTGACTGTACATTGTCGATTAATAACTTGCGCGTTACCGCTGATGCCTTGTATCGTGTTTGAGACTTGACGTGATTGAATACCTAACTTTTCGCACAAGCTTTCCGTGATAAGCGAGCACTGACTTCCTGAGTCTAAGAGCGCCTTAACGAGTACGCTTTTTTTGTTATGCATTATACGTACTGAGGCTGTTGACAATAAAACTTGGTCAAGGGTCGTGTTTTCGATTTTCATTACAGCCTGAGAATTTGTAGTAGTTTCTGGTTCCACGTGAAGATGCGAATTATGTTTTTCGTTACAATATTTGCAGCCACGTGAGCGACATGTGGAAACAGTATGTCCTGGTCTGAGACAATTTTTGCAAAGACTCAATTTCTCTACAAACTTGATGCGTTCATGTACAGATGAATCTAAAAATTTTTTGCAAAAATATATCGGATGCGCATCTTGACACACAGGGCATTTAAAGTAAGGACGATCGCTAGTATCATTTTTGGTTGTCGTTACCGGAAGCACTTTCTTAGGCCGAAAATTACGAGTAGGGTTGAACGTTTGCGATTGTTTAGAGGACATAGTCTCGAGTAAGTCAGCTCTATCACGCAAGAAATTGGTAAATTGTTCGAGAGTAGGAACTGTGTTACTAGACCGATACTCTTCCCACTGACGCGATGTGGTAGAGTCAAGTTTCGATGACACTAGATAAATTATTACTGTATCCCAACTATCAACTGGTTCGCCTAACGATTTTAACGCTGCGAGATTTTTCGTCATACAATCGAGTAATTGTCTGATACTACGATACGATTCATTTGCAATATTATCAATTGAGAAAAGGGACTTCACGTGATTATGTATTAGTAATCTTTTATTATGGTATCGATCGTTCAAGAGCTGCCAAGCTACAGCATAGTTTTGAGCCGAAAACTCAAGACTTTGCAGCAAAATGGCAGCGCTGCCTTGCAATGAGTTTCGCAAATAATGGTACTTCGTTATCAATGGTAAATTGTGGTTGTCATGCACCAACGAGGCAAAAGTATCTCGGTATTCTATCCACTTATCGTAGCTA